GCTTTTATTAGAAGTGGTATGCAGGGAGGTAGATTTTTGTTCTTTAAAATAAATATCAGAGATTTTCTCAAACTACTTTACAGGAAAGGAAGTGGTTGGCTACACATGATTTAAAGTTCCCTGTATGTTTTAGGGTTTGGTGGGGTTTTTTAAATTTTTTTTTTTTATTTCCCCAGAAGACCCGTGACTACGTTTTGTAATTACAAGAGTGGAATTTGAAATCAGTAACCATTCTCTTGAAGTTTGAGTGAAATTTTCTTTAGGAAACAAAAGCAAAACATGAGGTAGAAACCTAGAATAGGGTACAGTTTTACAGCTGCCACTTTAAAGATTATTCCAAACTTCTCTGGCAGTAAAGCGTAGGAATTCCAGCTGAGATGCACGATGTGTCTTAGAAGCAGCTGTAAGTAGTATTTGGGGTGGGACGACTGTTTCTGATCACATTTACAGTCCAGCTTCTTTCCATTCTTGCTGGGAACCTGTGAGTCAGGCAGTCTCCTACCACCCTCCAGTGGTTTTCAGAGCACAGTGCAAGCCACTTGTTCGGAAAGCTTATTCAGAAAATAAAAAGGGGAGTGGGGATATTCCAAGCTTTCTGCTGGAGACACATGTGGATTTTTGTTACACTTTGGATTTATTTGGCGATTTGTTTAAAAGATCTTTGGGTTCCGGTTAGATGTTACAAAGTGTTCTAGCACACCTGTTCTGTGGAGTATTATGATATTCATGCGGTTGCTTGCAGGACATTAAACCATCTGCATTTGTGATGATTTCCAGTCTGTGTTTGTATTGCTGCCAGGATTACAGAATCCGTGGGTGTGACAATTGGATGGACAACGGTGAAGGGGTGTTTTGTAGGGGGCTGGGCAAAAACTACAGCTTTTTCTATGAACTTAGTGACTAAATAATTTGGAAGTCATTATAAATGTCTCCTCTGGCTGCTACCATTTATTTCTGTCATTACAGTATCTAAAGCACCTTAGGAGCATTAAGATCTAAATTCTCAAAGAAAATTGCATCTGTGTACTTAATTTTGTGCTGTTTTCTGTTCTTGGTAGCATCTGATATTCTATCCATGGCGTGTCACAGTGTCATCACCCTGATTGCTGTATTTTCGTGGAGATCACTGATGAAGATAATAAAACATGACACAATTTATTTTTATCTTTCTATTATGAATGTGGAAAGCCGTGAAAACTGCAGGAGCTTGAAAACACAGCAGGGATGAATTTATCAGAGGTTAAGGAGGCATTAATGCACTGTGTGACATGAAAGGCAGCCTTCCAAAATTCCCCACACGACTTTAGGCTGTATCAAGTCCTGGACTACAAAGCAAAAGTAAAAGGGGCTGATGCTTTCATTGTTCATTACATTGTTGTCTCATCCTTTGTTGGGGATTTTCGAGCAATTTTTATTTCACATAACTGTGCTTTTGTCCAAGCAAGTCCGTGCTAAAACTGTTAATTTTTTGATACAAGCCTATTGCAAAAATCCTAAAATAGGGAATTGCACTTTTCTGCTGCAGGATGACATAAATTGCTGGCTCATCTACTAACATCACTCATGTAGTACAGCATGATTCATCTAGTCACAAAGTACTCTCTGTTCAGCCAATCTAAAATACATGAGTAGGATGGGGAAGTTACATCAGCTACCACTGGGATCACCAGAAGTGCAGCACAAAGTTTAATTGTTTTTTTTCTTCTGAGTTCAGCTCATCATCACCATAGTTGAGAGAATTATGACTGCAGCAAGGGCAGGGCAAAACAAAAGAGCAGCTTTGAAGCATGCTAAGTGCTGTAAAATGCTCCCAGGTAACTGTCCATGACAGATGGAGTCTCTCCTTGGACCTTACTCCTTTCCTGTATCCCAAACTGGGAGTACGAGATATTCTACAATCTCCCAGTCCCATAATGACCTGTGCCCTGGTGACCTCTCCCAGTGTCTTGGCAGCCACCTTCTGTCTGCTGTGGTAATGAGTGTGTGGATAGAACAGACAGGCAGGCAGGGCAGGCAAGGCAGGCTCTTGTGGGAGAAAAAGAGGGGCCAGCTGGAGGAAGAAGCAGAGTCCAGTAGGCCTTGGCTTGCCTTCTGGCTGGATTTGATCACGGGATGTTAGCAAAAAGGCCTGCTTCAGCCAATTTCTGCTGGCTTCATCTCCTGAGATACCTTTCTTGTAAATCTCAGCAGAACTCGGTGAGCTGGTATTGTAGTGTGTTTTTGAACCTTTATTTACCTATCCTGCCTGTTGGTTGGCTGATTTTGTTGGTTGTTTGATTTTTTTCCACCTACCAATGTTTACATTTAGACTAATGGGACCAGCATTTGTCTTTGCCTGGGCATTAAGATCTACACGAAGGCTTTTGAGTATGTTAGAGAGCAAAATGGCTATAAAGAAACAGCACATATACATGACTATGAAAATTTTGAGAGTCTTCTCTCCAACAGACCAAATGGTGTAGCATCAAAGTTGAGATAACAGACAAAATCTATTTAAGAACACATCTTTGTTCATTATTGTATGTTATCTCTCACAATGCGTCCACAGGTAAGTGAAGGGTTAAGGTAAAATTCTTTCTTCCACCTGGACAAAGACAAGGTTTCTTTCTTTGGAAAGAAAGTCTGTTAGAAGACTTGAATTGAATTTTCACTGCAAAAAACCGAAAATCTCCAGGTCAAAGGCTGTGTAACCTGGTGACTGTAGTGGTATAAGACTGATAATGCCACATACTGTCTGGTCTGACCACTGAATATTACCTACATGATCTGTAATGAATATGAAGTTTGGGGGGTTATTACTTAAAAGAAAACCAAAACAAACCTTTTTATTACTCCCATTTTTCCAGACTGCCATACAAAACCCAGCAAGCTTAGTTTTCACTCAAAAGTAGATGTATCAGAAACTGAAATGAGGTCTCAGCTAATAAATAAGCCAATGGCCCTGACTTTTTGTATATTACTCAGAAAATATTTACATTTTTCTAAACAGCTATTTATGCTTTGTGTTCATGAAGCGTGGGAGAAGTGATTCTTGAGAGACCTCACCAGGGCTGCTGCATCCAGCTCTGGGGTGCCCACTGAGGTCATGTTGGAGAGAGTCCACAAGAGGCCACAAAAAAGGATCAGAGGGCTGAGCACCTCTCCTATGAGGAAAAGCTGACAAGTGGGGTTGTTCAGCCTGGAGAAAAGGCTTCAAGACCTTATTGTGGCCTTCCAGTACCTAAATGGGGCCTGTAAGAAAGATAAAGCAAACTTTTTTTAGCAGGACTTGTTACAGTGGTACAAGGGGTAAGTGTTTTAAACAAAACAAAACAAAAAAACAAAAAAAAAAAAAGAAAAGAAAAAAAAAAGTGTATCTAGACTACATTTAGAAGAAACTTCTTATTATGAGAATGGTGAAAAAGTGGAACAGGTTGTCCAGGGAAGTAGTAGGTGCCCCATCCTGGGAAACATTATGGTCAAGTTGGATGGGGCTCTGAGCAGGCTGGTCTAATTGCAGATGTGCCTGCTCATTGCAGGGGGGCTGGACTGGATGACTCTTAAGGTCCCTTCCAAGCCAAAGTATTCTGTGATTCATAGAATTTTGACAAGGGCTAGAAAATGTTCTAGAGATTGTGTTTTGAGGCAACAGCTCTGAAACATGTAAGATTTAGCTGCCATTAAAAACTGGTGTTTCTTTGGCCTGGTATGTCCTGCTCTACAAGCAGGATTAAGTATTTCTGAGAGTTATTCCCCTTGGTGACATGACACTGACCCTCCTCAGGTTTTACTGCAGCTGTGCTTCTTCAAAACATAATGTGACTGCAGAGAATGTTCAGAGGAGAATGGCTATGTTGGTTTAGGTTAAAGGCTAAATATCTAGCTTGGATGGCATCTCCAGCCCTAGCCTTAAGGAATTTAGAAAAATTTGTTACTGCCCGGAAACAAAATTTTAAAAAATCCCAAACAGTGAAAACAGCTAATAAAACCAAAACAATCCAAAAACCAAACAAGGAAAACCAAGACAAACTCCCAGCTTGGCAGTAAATGAGCAGCATGGCAGTGCTCTGCAGAGGCTGTGGCTGCTGTCCTGGCTGTAGCAGGTGACAGCAGTGCTGTGTCACCGAGCTGAGTGCAGCTCAGTCCAGTGTTCACAGAGCCACAGCGAGGTGGCACTCGAATCTCATGCTTTGTACTGCTTTCCTTCCTCAGATGCCAGTACTGGCTCCAAGATTATCCATCAGAATTGAGGCGTTTTCCTTTTAAGTGCTCCGTTCTTTCATCTGTTTTCAAAAGCAAATGTTTTAGGAGAGAAGGGTTTTGTTTTGAACAAGTGCTGGGAAAAAACCCCATGTCACAAGTGAGATTAAAAAAAATCACCTCAAGAGCTGCATTGTTCAATTGCAGAGAATAGCCTATTTCATCTTAAAATAGCCTTAACTTAAGCCAGGATTTAGCACCATAATTCACAAACACGTGCCTGGAAGATCCTCCTTGCATTACTGAGGCTATTTGGCTGCTATCATATGATCATTTCCATGTAATCATATTTTTGAGTTTATTGAATTTAATCCTCAATGCAGTTGCATTTCCTGTGCTTTTATTTTATGGGAAGACTGTTCCATAGCTGTATTCCTATAATTTTAATACATATTGCAAACAGATGTTTAGGCTTTTTCTTCTCACCACCAGAAATGCAAATTTAAAGTAAATGTTAATCTTTTTATCTGTCTGTTAACATCTTATGGCTGTACTGTAATGAAATTACTTAGGATATCATTCACAAGCAGACAGAAACAGAACAGTATTCTTCATTCCTCTGAATCTGTGAAAATGAGATAATTTTGAATTTAACAGGGACAACGGACACACTCCTGTAATGCATATTACCAAAACTAAAGGATTTGTTAATTTTATTACTGCTTGTGGTTTGGGTAGAAGGAGCCACAATGGCCTAATCAGTTTAATGTAAAATTTTACCAGTCAGGTTTTTTAATTACTTTTTTTTTTTTTTTTTCCAGTGGGAGAAATTACAGATGACAACAAGTGAGAGGAGAAAAATCGTTTGTTCAGTCACATTCCATATAATTGCAATTACCTGTGTTGTTTGGTCATTGTATGTTTTAATTGACAGAACGGCTGAAGAAATTAAACAAGGCAATGATAACGGTAAGTATCTTTTACCTTCTTCAGTGCTGCTGGTAATGCAGTGCCTGGCTTTGAAAGGCAGCTCTGTAACCAGTCACATTCTGTTCTTAAATAACAGCTCACATGCCTACACCAGAGGCTTTAATGCAGAACTTCTGAATGCGTCAGTCTTACCTTATGCCCCAGCAGAGAGAGCTCTACTTTGTGTAATCATTACAGCAGCTTAACTGGCCTGCTGGTTCTTTCTGGGTTAATCTCCCATTATCTAGATAATTCTAAGGCTCAGGCAAAAAGATGAGTCAAGTTCAAACAGCTCAGTGCAAGTTCAGGTCCTTAAATAGTAATTTATTTATATTAATCACTTGAATTTTGATAGGACGTAAAGTACAGTAGAGCCTCTTAATTTACAGCCTTCCTAATACAAACTTCCAAGAGACTGTTTTCCATTTGTTTTAGTCCTTCATGTGGGACTTGATAGCATGGAAAGCCATTCCTGTGTCCTTTCAAATAGAATTTCACTGTGAATGTCCATGTTCCAGCTGTATTTATTGGTTACGTGCTGGAACAGAGGAGTCATGAGACTCTGTCTGCAGAGATACTGAAAATCCAACTGGACACGTGTAAAAAAATGCATGCTTAATGTCAGTAAGAGCCATACTTAGCATATGTGGAAAATATATCCTAAATTTAACTACTGTTTTCCATTTCAAATCTAAGTTTATTTGATCTTAAATTCAGTCTTAAATGTGACGATAAAAAGTCAGTTTTGAGTTTTGATCTGAATTGAATTTAAGCACCCTAGAGGAACAAAGGTCTCTAGCTTTGTGTTATATTCCAAAGTTAACATGGAAAACAAAACAGGTGGAGCTTTGTGCCTTGCTAGTTAGATAAATATTTGATGATACTCCTGATGCTTGCCTTTCTTGCCTTAGAGAGGAAAATAAGCAACAAACCTCAGAAAGTCACAGATGAATACACACTACAAAGTCTTGTTTTGAATTCTTTTGAAATGGGTAACCTTGTTTTTATCTCAAAAAACCTGGCCCAGAGGACAGGACTAGGGATGGCTTTGAATTTCTGTTTATGAGTACAACTACATCACCCTACTCATTACAAAGGGGAAGCTATTTCTGTAGATTAGCTGAATTTCCATAACAAAACAGCTAACAGGGAGTTTTGTTGTTACACACAATGCATAAGAATCATGTTAATTATTCCTGGTAGGCTCAAAAAGCATTTATGATTTGTATAGCATTCAGTATTTGCCAAATGTAGTGGTTGATTCTTTACACTAAAAAATGGACAAAGAGATGCCCTGGAGCTACTTACAACATGCAGAAGTAAGTGTGAAGAGGACACTTTTGGTCCAAAATTTGTTTGTTGCAGGGGAAAGTACTGTTACAAAAGCGAACATGTATTTGTGGGGAATAAGAGGGACATATATGTAGTTTGCTTTATTCCCCATTTTGTCTCTTTAAATGGGAATTGCCAAGGCAAAGACAAGTAAGCACTGGAGGAAAAACACTTTATAAACATATTTGGAGAAGGAGAAAAATTGAAACCCTGAATAATACTAGTATTGTTTGTTAATATTCTACTTTAAAAATCACATTTTAAATGGCTACTCAAATTATTTAAGGGGTTGGGTTATTTTTCTCTTTAGCGAAGTATATGATGCAAACCCTTTCATTGCTAAACCTGACACTGGTTTACAGAAAAGTGGATTTAAAGTATATTTAAAATATTCTAGAATTTTTATGGCACCAGTGGAAAGGAATCAAGTTTAACGTATATTTATTCTGCTTGAAGAAACAGGTCTAGGTTCAGCTGACCTTTCTCCTAAGAAAGCTCAAGTCTGAAAACATGGCAGTCCTGGAAAAAAATGAAAGATACAAAACTCTCTGTCCCATACCAGTTAATAAAAAAAGATGTTACCACAGAAGCAGCAGCAGCCTATCTTTAATGGTAAAAGGTGAAAGAAATCCTGAAAGAAAGATTTTGAGAGTGGCATTGATTTTTTGGTTGATTTATTTGACTAAATGGTGGTCAAATCAGTTAAAAGTAGGAAGCAGTTTCCTGTTCCATGGGCAGTTTCTTGGCCAGCCCATGGAATAGGAAACCCCATCTATTTTCTAGAGCCACAACTGCCCCAATAGCGTGCACATACCCAGGCATTCTTAGCCAGTGGCTTATTTTCATAGACATTACTGAAACAGTGCTTGATATTCAATTTATAATATAAACTTCCTATTTCAAAGGTGTCCTCGAATGGCCGTTTTGGACAAAACTCGTTGTGGTGGCCATTGGATTCACAGGAGGCCTGGTCTTCATGTATGTGCAGTGTAAGGTTTACGTCCAGCTGTGGCGCAGGTTGAAAGCCTACAACAGAGTGATCTTTGTTCAGAACTGCCCAGACACCATCAAAAAACTGGAGGAGAAAAGCTCTCCGTGCACTCAGCCCTCGGAGGTGAAGGACGCGGTGGTGGTGCCAGTAGCACAGACAGGTACAAACTCTCAGCCGGCGGCGGAAGAGGCGACGTCGGAGGTCATGCCAGTTTGACACGGACAGCATTGCTTCTTCCTTGCAGAGTAAGCTGTAGTGTCTGCTACACTACAAATGCTACAAGAAAGTAGAAATGACTGTGCATTTTTTCAGTTAAAGAAGACCCCAACCAAACAAGAAGAAAATACCCCATACAAAAACCAAAACCGTACAAGGAAAATGGATCCAGCAAAGCAACTTGTTAATGTATGGAATGTGCCCGTTCGTGACGTAGTTTTGCAACTAGTCAGCAAGTGTAGTGAAAGTGGAAGTGTAGAAAGTGCAATAGAGAACAGGTTTAACAGACAATGCCAAACCTATGTAACAATGTACTTTTTTTTTTTCCCCCCCCTAACTGGGTTGGCTGGGAAAGTAGAAAACAGAAGTGATACAATGATTTTGTTTACAGAAGACACAAAACCTTTCATCTGTTTACTACTAAAAGTTGTATTTGCTATTTACCTTTTCAAAGATACACTTCAAAGGGTACCAATCCAAATAATACGCATTAACAGAATCAAAGTACAGAGAGATGTATTGCAGCACTCCCTCTCTTAGCCTCGTACGGCAACACCTTCATGTGACTGTAGTGGAGCCTGAATGTTTGGGCAGCTGTGTCAACTATGGATATTTGAACCAGTTGTTTTTAACTATGGCTGGATTTTTGAAAACTAAGCAGTTCCAACCAATATAAACTCACATCTCCATACGCTGCAGACAGTTTTTTTTAAATGTCAGGGAAGTAAGTACAGGAAGGAGAGAATATGGAGATAAGCATTTAGAAGAGCAGCTCTGCTGTTTATTTTACTTCATAGGAGTGAATTAGGCATCAATTGGATACACAAAGTATTGAGGCAAAATTGTAAATTAAAAAAAAAAGCAGTTTACTGCAGAATTACACAGAAGTAAATTGTCTGTTGTCAAAGGTCTGAAAAAGGATGACTGAAGATGGAAGCTACTTTTGGTTTTATTAAGATTCGTGATACAGAAAGGTAGATATAAGAGAACATACGTACCTACATATCTTAAGAAAACATTAGTTTTTATCTCCTTGTTCTAAAAAGCTAGTTTTTATCTTCCTGACTGGAAAAAACAGATCAATGGTTTCCTTCTGTACAGGTAAACTTAAGGTGTTAGAGATTCAACAGTTCAGTTGTTAATTTCGTGTTTTGAGCACTGGCATATAAAAATGAAGTGTGAATAGCATTAAAAGGTGCAATAGATAAATGAATGTAGATATAATCCTGTGTCCAACAGGGTGAATTATGTATAAGGAACCAATTTTGTGATTCACTTTGCAAAACTGTGGTGTTTACTATAAGGACACAAGAGCAAGTATTGATTCAGAGTAGCTATGTACTGGTGTGCACAAGTCTGGGGCCTGAACATAATGTGTATTTTAAAAAGAAGTTGAAAGTTCTTTTTTTAATCTTGTATTTAGTAAAGGAGGAAAAGCAAATAAGAGGACAGGAGAGCAGAGATTCACTTACAGGAGGGGTATCTGCCACAATTACAAGTGAACTAGAGTTCTACAGAAGCCTTGAAGTTTCTACTGGTAAATTTTCTCTTTGTACACTCAAGTATTTACAGTGAAATAACAGACTCATCCCATTCTTGCAAATACCCAGGCTTTAGGGCCTAAGATGTATTGGGATTTATATACTAGGTATTCCTTCGTGAATGTTTACTGGCTTAAGGCTCAGGGAATACTAGAAGTAGCAGTGTTAGCAAGAAATAGGTCTTTAATCCGACCATTATATTCTTTTGTATTGGAATTGCTCTTGTAATTTGGCTGTGACTAAGTGATGGTTATGTGGCTAGACAGGACACAAAACCTTGGTGCTTGAATGGGTCCGTAATACATGTTAATATTTGCTGTCAGTTACTCCAGGTGAGTTGGATTAATGTTGAAGTTTTTTCAGGTAATGGCACACACTTTTATATAAAATAATTTCCCAACTACACAACTGCAACTTCCAATTGTAGCAGCTTCTTATTTGAAATGACATACAAGAAAAACCAAATAATTTCTCCATTTAAAATTCTGGAGGTGATTTCAGAAGGTCTTCAGAGCATGATGACACAACTAAGGAATGCCTAGCAACTGCACATGCTTAAGATAGTCTGCAATGGCATGGTTTTCAAAAAGCTACTTGTTAAAAGGTAACTCATGATATCTGACATCAGACACTTAAAATTACTAACTGAATGTTTGGAAGGATGTTTACAATAAACCTCGGCAAAATTTACTGACAAAGAACATTATTATGAAAGATAATTAAGAGCTTTCTGAAATAATAGTTTCTTACTAAGTGAAAGTAACCCTGCTGCTTTAGCCAGCTTGTTCTTTGACTACAGTAGCATCATGAACCCATTGGAAGTACCTTATCCCCTATTTTGTCAGTTTACTGGAGAGTAATTCGCACTGGGGTTTTTTTCTTGAACAAATATAAAATTCACCTAAAATACCTGAAGATTCTGAAAGCAGAACTGTAGCATCCAACAAGATTTTACATTTTTTAAAAACACACTGAAGAGTCAGCAACAGAAAAGACAATATGAAAGCTTTTATACCAATGCCTTCAACTTCAAACACTGTTCTGGCACTCAACCATATATGCAACTGAGTTTACAGTTAATTAAATAAAAGAAAGCAGAAAGACTTCAGTTGAAATTCCTCCTCTCCCTTGGAAGTACTGAATGTGGACAGCAGGAAAAGGAGTAAAATGGGACACTGTCTGCTGAGATGGACAATGAGACAAGTCACCAGCACAAGAGATTTCAGCTGGCTTGAAGTAGCCTTTAACCTTTTAAAGCATTACAGTGTTAGCCTGTGCATCCCTTTCTCTTCTTAGATGGACTGGATTTTCTAGAGCTTTCAAGAATTTCGTGCAGGATTGGAATTAGTTTCTGAAGCAGGGTTCAACCTCTTCAAGAGGGCAAGGAGCTATTCACACCACCATGCCTTGGATTCTGGTCTTCAGTAATAAGGAAAATACACGGATAGAGAAACTAGACAGATCCTTATCAACCAATACTTTTTCATTCCCAAACAAAGTACAATTTTCTGTATTAAGTTATTAACCACAGTATTCTATCCTGGAAAAAAAAATACCAAAACCACACAACTAAACAGAACAGTATACTGAAGGTTTTAAGATGAAGTCTCAAGACTTTTTAACAAAGATACCATCTCAAATAAGGAACCACATCAAACTCCTGTGTAGCCACAGTGCGGCTCTGGCAAATATGCTGACAGTGGAATTTGGCCTGGCTAAACCCACGAGGGCAGAACCTGCTCTGAGCTGCCATTAGCAAGAACAGCTTGTTCAACCTAAGTTTTAATAAAGGTAGGTAGAAGTAATTTGGTGTCAGGTCAGATTTGGAAGTTTGAACAAGATAACTCCTGTATTCCCTCGTGTGAATACATGCACATTTATTTTCCTGTGTTTAAGTTACAATCATTATAATGTTTATTTCAAACTGGCATAAACATACCACTTTTGACTCTCAGTAGCATTACAAAGATTCTTGACTAGTCCAACTGTGCCATTCACACACTGCTCTATCTGAAGGTAATGTTTATTTTTGTTGTGTAGAAAAAATAATTCCCCATCTCCAGAACAAACAGTTTATAATTTCCAATAATGCAATGAAACTTACTCTGATGAAAATATTTTACTGTGTATAATATTTGGAACTACAAGTTTGTGTTATTTGTTTAACTCCCTCTCTTTTGCAAAAGAAAAAGTGTATGTTTTTGTGGGTGAATATGTACTGGAAGACAGAAGGTAAGGGAAACAAAAGTAATGTATCTGCTTAATGTTGTGAAAAAAATGTATTTGTATTAAACAAATTACTCAAAGTACTGCAGTATTCTACATTTGTCACCTTGTTACCTAGAGCATCACATTCTGAACATGGATTGGCAAGACCACACTCTTGCAAGAAAGGTGAACAATATATCTCAGTTGCTGACTTAATACTGATAAACCTGCTAAGATGCAAGGGGCTACTTCTGGGTACCCCACCTTGGCAGAATGCTCAGGAAAATACTTCATAGTACAAAAACGCTTGAAAAGAGTTACAGTTGCTTAACTTGCAGGCTTTAACTCTATAAAGATGCCTAGAAAACAACTGGTTTTGCATCCACAGAATAATGGACTAGTACTGGGTTTCAGCTCCAGGGAGGTAAGAGGATGAAAGCTTCCTAAGGAAGCAGTGCCTTTGTACAAACTGCTACAGTGATTTTGGAATGTCCAATACATAAAAGCTTTAAATATGGACTGGACAGGTAAATACTTTAAAGCTAATCCCAGCTCAGATTGTCAGCATGGATCCTGTTCCTTTTTGTATTATTTTATACTTTGATTTAGTGAGGTTTTCTCCTTTTTGAAAACCCTAAAGACATGTTTTTAATGAAAAGGAATATTGCACGTTTGCATTATAAAAAAGCTTGTGCATTTTGTGAAATGTAAATGTAAATGTTTCTTTTGTAAAACCAAAGAAAATCTCTTACCTTGACTAAAACAGAATGTTCCAACCAGGGTCCAAATTCAGTTTTCTATAGATCCACCTCCTCCATATCTTTCTGGTAGATGGTCAGCTGGGGAGGGAGTAAGCTAAGTTTCAAAATACCGCAATTCTGGCTGGAATCATATGGGTGGTGATTGGTAAGAATATATGTTCAAAACACAGAAGTAATGTTGTAACAAATTTAATTCTGTACATCCATGGCTAGCCACTTGTTCCTTTTCTTAAAGCTGCCCTAACTAGCTCACTGTGTAAATCCAAATGGATTCACAAATCCCTGCAAGATACAGAAGAAACAGCAGAAACAAAGAAGTTACAGTAATAAAGATATATTAATTTCCATTTATTAGCATATGGAAAAGTGTTATATTTAATTAAAAAGTGTGGATGAGATTTTTTTGAGCACTTCATATCTTAGCAATTGGCATCACCCCTTTATCAGTTTTCAAATTAGCATGGTACTGTCTTGGTTAATTGTGTTAACTTGAATAAGAACTGATATTCGTAGGATGCTTCCATTTTTATTTAGCAATATTGTTATTACTCAATTTATTATTTAGCAATTCTGTTTTTAAAGTAATGCTGTCATTTTA